GACCATGGCCTGTATCAGGCGCACCTTAGTCTCCAGAGAGACACCATTGCTCTTGAGTACTTTAGAGAGGTCCCTAACCGCAGACTTTCCCATCGTGATACGTTTCTTGATTTCCTGGCTGTTGGTGCCAAGAGGAGAAAAATCTGAGGGAAGGCTGAAATCTCAGTGGGTCTCCCTTGGTTCTAGAGTATACTGAGCATACCCTTCTCTTCCCTTTCATCCTCCTCCGTATAGGGATATAGATAAAAAAGTGATGAGACCTGGGTAGTCAAAACCTAAGGAGACAGATTAATTGATTGCCAACCAAGGTTAAGGAGAATAATGAGATGTATACTTTCTGAGAGGTATTGTGAATGTTTGATGTCTTTTGAAAGATTTAGTCATGGAAGGAGACCTAGGTTTGCAGAGTGGAGGAGGTACCTGGGACCACAGGAACCACACACACATGCACAAACCTGGGGGCAACAAAGGTTTTTCCCTTGTCTGGAGTCTTAAGACAGAAGTGAATATCTGAGGCTTGGGTGAATCTAATTGTTCTTGATACCCTTGCTAGAAAATTAATTGTGTTTTGCTAGCCGCTCTGATCTCTCAGGTCAGTTGATGTTCACAACATCATTTCCATCCTTAACCAAGTCTGGTTCAGTTTTATGGGCTCCACCCCTTGACCAGGCTAATCCTATAGCCTCAGAGGTCCTGCTTCTTACCAAAGATATTGTGTCATATACTCAAGGTCCCATAAAGATTTTCTCCAAACCACAGCTTGATATGTATATAAGTGTGGTGACCAAATATTGGTAGTGGATCAGGGGATGGTCCTTTAGCTTTCTCAAGGATGGTCTTAGGGACAATTGGGGTTCTCTCCAGCATCTTTAACACATCATCAGATGTGCTTGTTTTAAGTTATGGTCTTTTTAATCACTCGCTATGCATCCAAGAGCTGGGTAATGAATAAGGATGACAGAAGCATAGATACTTTTTAGCTTTTGTGTTGGTGAAAAACATTGACTATCCCATGGACTGCCAAAAAAAATCCCACACCACCAAACAAGTATGTCTTGGAGAAAATGCAGACAGAATGATCCTTGGAGATAATGATGACTAAGTTTCATCTCACATACCTTGGGCATGTTGCTAGGGGAGGCTATTCTTCAGAGAAAGACATCATACTTGGCAAGATGGAGGGTCAATGGAAGAGAGGAAGGTCCTCAACCAAACGGATCGACAGTGACTGTTGTGATGAGCTTGAATGTGTTAGAAATTGTGGGCATGTCACAAGATAGGACAGTGTTTAGATTTGTTGTGTATAGGGTTATTATGGGTCGTACTTGACTTGTTAGCTCCTAAAAGCAACGGCCAGCAGGCCCCACTGTTTTCATGGCAGAGGAAAATCTTTCCGCTTTTATTGATAAAATACTTCAATGTTACAGTAATAGCATCAATTTAGGACACGACATCTCTCTTTCTGAGTGTTCAATGTGCTTAGGTTGATGGCAATATATTGCCTCTAAGAATTCCACTGCTACCAGCTCTAGCTGGGAGACTAATAACTAAAGCAATTAGAACAGTGCACATTCATTAGGCACATGTTATCCTCGGCTCTGTGCTGAATGAGGTAGGAAATTTTGTTCTCTCTACTTTAGAGGAGAAAAGAGAAGTTGTGTCTCACCCAAAGTCACCCAGCTGATTAGAGGTAGGGCTGGGACTTGAACCCAGAGATGATGAACCTCTTGAATGATAGTACTTGATTTAGGTTGTTCCAAGGTGGGAGAAGTTATCAATCATTAATCAGCCAGTCATCCTGACAGGCAATGGCAAAGAAAACACTAGCAAAGTAGATCAATCAGAAACTGTTCTTGAGAAAGATGTGTGACTGTGACACTATAACACAGGAAAACAGACTCCCAAGGAAAAAATAAACAAGATGGCTGGAGAAGCAGATCATCATAAATCCATCAAAACTGATGTACTGACAGCTGTGTAAAGCCCACTCTCCACTGGAAAAAGATCTATAAACCCTTTTGTAAGATAAAGACAGGGGACCTGCCTGTCCTGACTCATTTATGGTCTGTTGTGAATGTCTAAGAAACCTCAGTTTCTTTCTCTTGCTCTCACTTGGTGTTGGCATCTTTCTTGTATATCTGAGTCAGAGTTCCTACTCAAAGAGGCCTCTGGACCTTTTCTGGAAATCATCCCCTGGACAATCTCATACATTAAAAGCCTATGAACAGGCAAAAGAAGAAGAGAGAGGAGTCTAAAGCAGTGGAGGATAAGTGAGAATGCTGGATCAGAGGACATAGTCCTAAGTGAGAATGCTGGATCAGAGGACATAGTCCTAAGGTGAGGGGATACTTGAAGAACACATATAAGGTTTCAAGAATAGGAAAGGAACAGCTAAATGGAAAGGGATATCAAGAAGAAGAACAATAGCACAACTCTGAATCAGTTTTGTTTAGGATCTAGTAAGATTATTTGCTGGAGTGTCTGGTTGTTGTGTTTTATTGTTAGGTACTATCAAGTTGGAATCAACTCAGAGCTGACCCTCCAGTGGGTTTTTAGAGGCAGTAAATCTTACAGGAGTAGATTGCCCGTCTTTTTACTGTAGCCTATGAATTGAAATCATGTGACTTTGGGTTGACAGCACAATTCCTTACCATTAAGCCACCACTAAGCTCCTGGGATGCCCAATGGAGAAATATAATTGTGAAATTTGAATCAAGGAAGAGGGAAGAATTTCTAGGACTGGCAGCTGACTGCAAAGACACTGCTTATGTATGTGAGAGTGTGTAAGAGATATTGAATAGAGGATATAAAATAATTCTCATTTTGCCATTTGAGACTGTCACAATAGGCCAATAGGCTTCAAGGCAGCTTTTTTTGGGCTGTTTTTGTCATTCCATGTACACACTGGGCCACTATACAGTAACTCCCTGTGCTTAAATAGTTCTTTAAATTGCTATTCAATTTACAGAGGTGAGGTTTTCTCTCTCCCAAATTCTCTAGCTTGCCACTGATCAGTTCATTCCCTTCAAATGAACTGCACTATGTTTTATTCATAGTATCACTTTGCTACTAGTTCAGCGATTTCTTTCTTTCAACATTCTCAAATGAGCATTTACCGGTAGCGGCGAGTTAATACTGTTCCTACAACCATGATACATTCCTCTCACACAGGGGAGTAAAGACACTTCTAACTTTTAATTTCTCTTAAAATGAGTTTATAACTTCCTATCATCCCCATTTGGATGCTTTTACAACTGACAGTGTTTTAGCTTTATTACTTGTAAAGAACAACCTTATGGGAGATATCTTTTGGCTTGGAAATCTCAGCTAGTCCAATTCCTGGCAACAGCTGAAATTATGCACCAATTTCCTCAAATATAGACCTTGGTAAATATTCTTTCAATTTGGACTCTTAGGATTACCGCCCCTCTTTTTAGTATATTGTTCTAGATGGATAGGGTCACAAGGAAGACATCTATTTTACTGGGATCTTAAACTCCATCTAGACAAATTGGGGTGTAGGAAATTAATTATATAGTTGGTATTTGATAACAACTACAATTTTATTTCTATTTCTACTTCTGAATGAAATGTGAAGGCACAAATCAAGGAGAATAGCATCTTTAAATTTAAAGCATAGTCAACTGTTGAAAAAGTAAAATAGATTGATTTGTGATAGAAGGTCAAAGGCATTTTGGTTATATTCAGTGTCTCATCTATTCAGTCTGTCAAATCCGTGCCCTTGAACATATATTTTACTTTAAGCTCCCTGAGCCTCAGTTTGTTGCTCTGTACAATGGTGATATTATTAACACTCATCTGATAAAATGGTTTTAAAAAATTAAACAGAGTTATTCATGCCCTGAGGTTAACATGTTGTTGCTGCTGCTTAAGTTTACTTCAACTCATTGTTACCTTAAGTTGCCGAGCCCTGCAACTTGGTTCATTGTTGAGGACAATTTGCAAATCCAACTTATCTAAAAAAGTTTCCCTTGCTGTTCTTGGCCCTCCATTTCACCAATATGGTGCCTCCCTTCAGTTGACCGGGCTTTTCCAATGACATGTTCAAAACAAGTGAGTTTGGTTATGATACACAATACTTTCCCTTCACTAATTACTAGAAGTTAATCACCATAACCCTCTTTCAAGTGTCTCTTAGTCTGGATGTTCTGCTGAAATCTATTCTTCTGATAAATCTGCTGGTATTGAAATACTAGTGGCCTAGCTTCTAGCATCATAGCTGCTTACAAACCACCAGGATAGGACGGACTGCAGATGGGTGGTAGAGAATGGTACATGTTAACAGGTGTGAGAGCATAGACAGAGAAATCTTAGCCCTAAATCCTGAGCCATCAAACAACAACAACAAAGGCACCTTTCTTTCTTTCTATTTTTTTAAAAAAGCACCTTTCTTTGGTGGTTACTGTTATAATGGTATGATCAGACTTTGTTCATGGAATCCAAATTGCCTGTTCAGTTACATTTATAAGCCATTAACTAAAAAGCAAAAACAAAAACAAAAAAACAAAATCCAAACAAACACACAGAATAATCCCTCAAAAAACCACTTTGACAATCAAATATATTTATCTATGTCATGGACGAGCCCTTAAAATAAAGGAGAACGAAACATTAGATAGGGTCTGACTGGTGATAATGTCATGTCACTTTAAATAGATTTTTAGCAAATTTCTTGCCATTCCCACTTACCACACTGAATCCTTTGTGAGCTTGGAGTTCACATTCCCATCTTCTTCCAGGAAAACATCCATCTGCAAATTGGCATTGTTATCATGGGCTGAGAAGTAATTGGTAACAACTCTCGCTGGTATCCCAAGGCATCGCAAAACTACAGGAAAGAAGGGCAGAGTATTTACGTGAAAACATTGCCCAAACTACTAGATTTGTAGTTAAAAATCTCCTCTCTAAGGTGACTTTTTTTTTACCCATATGAAAAGTTCATTTAAACTTCTTGTCCTGAAATGTCCCACACTGAATGAAGAAGTTATTAAAGTTTCAGAAAGAAGCCTTGAGTGACTGTTCAAAATGACAGCTGGCACCAAATGACACCAACTAGAACAGAATCCCAACAACAGGGCTCTCATTGTTTATTTTCCAATTACCAAATTAGTATTATTTTAGTCAAGTTACTGAGATTATGTTCTTAAAAGCAAACAACACAATCAGTAAGAAGTTGGATTTTTAGAACCTAAGTCCTTTCTGGAGTTTGTTCCTGGGACTGGAGTCCTTCCTTTTGGCAATCAATACAGGATGACATCACAGATTCATTTTAATTGTTGGATAATGAATTACCTGGATGCATCTCTTGCCATATGTATCTATTGATTAAACTTAATTCAAATGCCCTCCCTGACTCCCAAGACTCTAGCCATCAGGGCTCATTGAAAATAATTCAGCTGACAATTTTAAGATTAATGACTTGGCTTGCCTTTTCCCCTCCCTCAGAATTATTTAGCATTTTTTAACCAAAGACTATCCATCTCCTTCAACAGAATAACATTGGAAGCTTGCACTTAGGACTGGTAGAGACATAAGCATCCTCCACCTTGAATAGTCTAATCTTAATACCCCAACAAAAATGGCCAGCCCCAGTGTACTCCTCATCCCCCTCCCATCTTCCTCACTCTACTGATTCACACCAGTAGTGGTTAAGTATTCAGCAGCTAACCAGGTTGGTGGTTCAAATTCACCAGTTGTTCCATGGAAGAAAATTGGGGCATTCTACTCTCATAAAGATTTGCAGCCTTGGAAACACTATAGGGAGTTCACCTCTGCCCTGAAAGGTCAATATATAAGTTGGAATCACCTCAGCAGTAATGAGTTAGAATTTTCAATTTACATTCAGAATGCGTGGGTTCAAACACTTGCCAATGCACCTCAAGCAGTCTATATGTCAATCTATATGTCAAGTCTATATATCAGTGGAGGCTTGATGTGAAACTGAGCAGACTTCAACTGAGCTTCAAGACTAAGATCAGCTAGGAAGAAAGGCCTAGAAATATATTTCTTAAATCTAACCAATGAAACATTTTGGGTCACAATGGTTTGATCCATAACTGAACAAGGCGATGATGCAGACTGGAGGCATTTCATCCCATTGTGTTGGTGACATCATGTATTGAGGGCTAGTTAATGAAAATGAGCAACTACAACAGCAACAACTTTCATGACACAGTTTTCCCAAAGAAAGAACTTATACTCTATCTATGGTTTAATATTTTTACATTATCACAGGGTGAGAACCATAGTCCCTGAGTTTGCCTTAATTCCTTAATTGTAAAGGAGGTGAAGCTTACCTTTAGAGGCACCCTCTCCTTCAATGTTCCTCTTTATATTTACTCTCTATCTTACTTATCCAAAGTATCTATTTGTTATTCCTTAATTTTCCAGCAAAGCAAATTCCCAGGAACACATCTCATGACATTTTGATAAGACATGAATGAATGAAGAATGTTTATCATTGTATCTGGTTCCAAACCAAGAGTAATTATACCGAGATAGTAAAACCCCAAGCAGTGGAGCACATGAAGTTAGGAGGTCCTTTTTTTCAAGAGTAACTGCCAGCATTGAGCAGTTTCTTGAGGGATCCTCAAGGAGGGAGGACTACCTCCAACCCCTAGGCCATCATGAAGGTCAAGTTTCCATTGAGAACTTCAAAAGCCAGCACAGCCAAGTTTGGAAGATGAGTTTTTGCTTTATTGTTCCCAGGAAATAGATATTCTTTAAGTTCTCGAGCATACTAAAACCGTAAGACTATATTTTTTATTCAGCTTGATGCTATAGCAAAAAAAAAAACACCCAAAACACAATTCATAGTTTCTTGGATCAAACACAAACTCTTATGCTGTGAAAAATTTCAGTTGAAATTGACAGGTTTCTTAGGCATTAAAAAATAGCCCTATCCTGACCTGCAGCCCCTACTTGTTTTTTCTAATTTAAAAACTGCTAACTAGATCAAATATTCTTTACTAACAAGTAGGCAGAAAGAAAATTCACACTTGAGCTTAATGTTTCTGCCAAGGCTGCAGAAACAGTCTGTGAATGAAAATCATTACCAAAGATGACTGTGTATGGAAAGAAATGCATTTTAAAAACATTCATTGAATTAACTATAACATTGTCTGGATTTTGAGAGGCAAATGCCATTTTGAAAAATGATGTATGAGGTGGAAGGGAGTAATTCTGATCCCATATGCTTTACTCTATGGATTGCATGTAGGGTGGATTAAAGATCAGAAAGGAGACTGGGAAGGTATTTGGTTGTTCATTCTGAATTTGAATTGCTCAGGGACACTGAGATTCAGTTATGTAAAAATAGAGACAAGACCTCCCTCCCTGACCCTTTCATTAACTGGGATAAATATTA